ACTGTAACCCAGGCTGGAGTGCAAAGGCATGATCTCAGCTCACTGCAACCTCTGCCTCCCAGATTCAGGCAATTCTCCTGCCTCAGCCTCCCGAGTAGCTAAGATTACAGGCGCCTGCTACCATGCCCGGCTAATTTTTGTATTTTTTTTTTTTTTTAAGAAGAGATGGGGTTTCATTATGTTGGCCAGGCTGGTCTCAAACTCCTGACCTTGTGATCTGCCTGCCTCAGCCGTCCAAAGTGCTGGGATTACAGGCGTGAGCCGCTGTGCCCGGCTGCCCTGAGCTTCTTTTCCTGCAACTAGAGGGTCTCATCTGGGGGTGAAGGGAGACAGTGATGGATCATCAGGCATTAGATTCTCACAAGGAGCACGCAACCTAGATCCCTCACGTGCACAGTTCACAGTAGGATTCGCGCTCCTGTGAGGATGGAATGCTGCCACTGATCTGAAGGAGGCAGAGCTCAGGCCTAACAGAGCATGGGGAGTGGCTGTAAATACAGATAAAGCTTCCCTGGCTTGCTCACCTCCTGCTGTGCAGCCCAGTTCCCAAGAGACCCAGGGGTTACCCAGAGGATGGCATTTTAGAGTCCAGGCGAGACTTCGGGAAAGAACGTGGTGGCTTTTAGGACAATAAGCTGGCTGCACTGTGCGAATAAGTAACACCCATTTATCTCGGTTGTTGCTCGAGCCATGTAGCCAGGCCCACCCAGAAAAGCTGAAACACAAGCCCCCGACTGAGGTCTGAGGGCGTTTACAGAGGCATCCAGACCTGGGTGCACTTATACAGCCGCACGGAAGCCGCAGGCTCACAGCTCTTGGATAAGAACCAGGAAAACATGCATGAAGCAGGGTAAGCCCCAAATTATCTGGACAGCTGCTGCTGTGGGGAACTTGCCTACAGAGCTCGAGTGTCTGCTAACCTGCAAGTCTCCACACCTCTGCACACTCACAGGCAAAGGCACCTACCCACGCGGGTTCCTGGTGATGCCACTCACCTGTCCGCTTGTTAGGAAACTGCACAACTTCCAAACCATCAGGGGAGGTCGTGCGCGTCATCTGAGCATTTGCATGATAGTAAATCTGTAAGCACCAGAAACACCTCTGCTGGGAGGCAGTCTATGTTATCATTTTGAACCTGGATTTAATCTAGTAAAGTCATTCCTGCAGGTGGGTAAAAGCACTGTCCCAGCAGGTGGGAGTGGGCTGACCCTGTCCATGGGCACCCTCCACGGCAAGGGGACATGGGGAGAGGGCTTGTCACCCAAGCCCAGAAGTCAAGACACTGTGGCTCTAGGCTAGTGGGAGAGAGGACTGGACCGAGGTGGAGTTCCCAGTCCTTCACCTGGTGGGTTCTGAGCTAGAGTTTGCTGGACCTGGCAACCTTGGGGGCCCGCAGGAGATCCAGGTCCAGCATAGTGAATGTGAGTGGGGAGCCCCAAGACCGAAACCTCACAGCTCGCAGACCAAGGGTCTCCCAGCAGCTCCAAACAGCAGAAATGCTCCAGTCATCAACTGTCCCTGGGTTATGCCTCTTGAATTGTCATGTTACTGTGAAGTTTCCCATCATTGTGACACCCTCTGGTTTCCAATAAAGTGGGGAAAAGAAGAGGGGAAGAGCTGCTTTGGAAGAGGACAGTCATCTGGGTCAAGCGAGCCTTGACCATAAGTAGGGAAGGGGGAATTATTAAAAAATTAAGGATCCAGGCCGGGCGCGGTGGCTCATGCCTGTAATCCCAGCACTTTGGAAGGCCGAGGCGGGTGGATCACGAGGTCAGGAGATTGAGACCATCCTGGCTAACATGATGAAACCCTGTCTCTACTAAAAATACAAAAAATTAGCCAGGCGTGGTGGCAGGCGCCTGTAGTCCCAGCTACTCTGGAGGCTGAGGCAGGAGAATGGCGTGAAGCCGGGAGGTGGAGCTTGCAGTGAGCCGAGATCGCGCCACTGCACTCCAGCCCAGGCGACAGAGCGAGACTCCGTCTCAAAAAAAAAAAAAAATTAAGGATCCAGAAGTAGACATCAGTGAGATGTACATGTTCATTTTGCAGTGGGACCACGGACAGGCATCCACTCTCTCCCGAGCTCTGGGACCTGGCGGGTCACTGCATGTCTGCATCTATCATGGCAAGAGCATCGCTGCCTGTCAAAGAAAGGCTGAGAGAAGGCAGGAGAGAATAGGAGGGGTGACTTATTTAGAAAAACCACCACACTGAAGTCGAAGGGACTATTTCTGTGCCATTATTTTAAAGGCATTTTTCTCACATGGGAAATTTGTCCATTTGTCAGAAGAAAGCCACAAATGCTCAATTCTGCATCATTCCAATAATGATCAAGTCCAAGCTCTGGCTCCTCGCTGGGGTCGGGGTTCCCTTTGGAGACCAGAGAGGTTCGAAGGGAACGGAGGTGCCCTCAGGAGACCTGGGGAGGTGCACACTCGCTGGCCTGCAGTGGCCATTCCCTCTGACCACGCAAAAGGTCAGAACAGGAGGATATCCTTCCAAGGCCTGTGCCAGGCCCTGTTCTCTCCCGCTGACTCATCCTCACCTCATCAATTCTTATATTGTCACACTCTGCCTCTCTACACCTGCATGTCTGGCTAAGAAACAGCTATTTCCTACTCCAAAGTGACGGAAACCCAGACCTCACAATGAAAGGCTGGGGCAGGCTATGAGATCAGTATCACAGATTCCTCCACTGGGCCATGGTATAACACAGGCCACCGTCTAAAGGGGGTCATCCAAGCTCTCCTTGTTTGCATTTCCCCGTGAGAAAAAAAGGGAGCATGTGAGTTAGTTCAGGTTGGTGGAAGAGCACGTGACGGGCACACCACGCCTGTGTCCACACTCAGGGCTTCTAGCATCCACCCTCAGGAAGGGTCAAGAGGCTTAGGTGGGATAAAATCACAGAGCCACAAGTAGGCGCCTCTCATTAAAGCAAGTAACACAAAAACCAGAGACGCGCTCTGCAGTCTCTCGGAACTCCTGGACCCTGTGCCTCTAAATTTGTACCCAAAGCTTGGCTAACAACAGGAAAATTGATCATTCTAAAGAAAGAAATGTTTAGAATACAATTTGGTAGTGTGTGGGTACTAAGAGACTATTCTCAATGCACTACAAGCCCTGCCCTAACCTCCCTTATCTCACCTTATTTACAATCTGTTTTGTAAATTACCCAGGTTTTCTTCAGTGAGAATCAAGTTATACCCTGGATTATCTGGACAAAAGTGTTACCACCCTGGAGACCTTGACTGGAAACCCTCCAGACTCCTCAGCATCTGTGTTTTCTGTCTGTGATCCCTGGACACACAGAGACATGTAATGGGAACCAGGGGGTCACAGCCCTGAATCTCACCTCCCTGAATCTCACCTCCAGCTTGTACCAGGGATTAGCTCCTGACTCTAACTTTGTTGCAATACTAATGCTAGTTCTACAATCAATGCACATTTACTAAGTGTTTACCATTGTGTTTCTAGAGAGTTCTGCAGAAGAGACATTATTTAATGGACTGTTACTTAACTTTCATAACCGTCTGTTGAGTTAGGTTGTAATTATCAACCACATTTTGCAGAGGTTTAGAAAAGCTGAAAACAATGACTGAACTCAGAGCCAGGAGGGGTGCTGGTGCACTCTTGTGTCACCACGCAGATCGGAGGGTCTTGATGACAGAGTCTCACTTGCCTGAGCGCACCGAGGAAGCAAAAAACAGCCTGGTTCATAGACAACCTTGCCCGACTCCACAGCCTGTGCTCTGGCCATTCCCCCCCACCCCATCCTGAACACCCAGAGGAGATGGGGTATGGATGTGCAGAGTCATTCCTAATAACTGAGTTAGTTTTGATTTCTTTAAAAAAAAAAGACAGATCTTTAAAAAACAAGATCCATTGTACACACCACTCTCTGATCGGGTTTGACCTTCTTCACGTCGCCGTTAGAAAACCAGATGACAGTCATCTTCTTATCTGCGCTCGGTTCCTTCTGGCTGGTGTCGGGGAAGGTGGTGATGGCACAACCTTCGCTCGGTGCCCGTCCTACCTTTATGGAAACACAAAAACTCCAAGATGAAAAATGATATAAAGTCTGATTATTGTGGTTTCATTATTTTTCCTCTATTCAGAATTGTTATATGATTATCGCCTACATGGTATTCTAGACACCAGCTGTGATATTTCCCCCCAGATTGTACTAACGGAGTAGATCAGGTCCAAATTCCCATCCCTGAGTGTGGTTATCAGTAATGAATAAGTGCTACGATCTGTCCCACAAACATCCGTCTTTCATGAGATCGTGTCACACAGTGGCCATCAGTCTCGATCATCCATGGCTGGTGACTTGGTGAGTTTAGAATCCTGGGCCATAGGAATTGTGGTAATTACTATGTAAAAATTACTCTTGGCACCTTTTTCTTTCCTTTTCATCCCATTCTTCTGATCTATACGCTTCTATGGCCCATCCCAAAGATGTATTGATTTTCATTAACTATCAGCAAATATTATATAACCTCATATGCATAATGCTGGACAAGGAATGTAGAAAGAATATCTTTGTCTTCGCATTGAAAATATTACTCATGTGAAAATTAGCAAAAGAAAATATCTGAGAGAAATAGTCTCAAGATCTGGGGAGTTAAGATAAGTGCATTTGAAAATTCCAAATGACAAAATGTGTTTTCGTTATTTATATCGCACTGTCACTCTTAACCATAGCTCAGAAATATAGGCGTCAATTCAGCTGAGAAAATACAAAGGGAGTAAAAGCAAATGCTTGGCTGCTTTAACTGTCTTCAACCACCCACCAAACAAACCTTGGCGGTGTGCGCCACCTGCTGGCCGGGACAGCAGCCTCCTATTTGATGGGGTTTGAACCAAGACGACTCCTTCACCTACTCCCAAACCAACTCGGTGAATGAAGCAAGGATTTGTTCAGTTCTGTATCCGAAGGTGAATTTTTAACCAACACTAAAAACCCCAGCAACGTTTAAAGAATCAATTACTCTCAGAAGTAATAAAGCACAAATAATTTTTAAAATGTTCCACATGAAAAGAATCATACAATCTATTTTGGAGTTTATATTATTAAAAGAAACAAAACACGGAAAGAACTTTGTCATATCCAATGCAAGATACACAAGAAGTAGATGCAAGATGAGTCACGAGAAGAGGAACGTGATGAAGACCTGGGAGGGAGGGTGGGGGAGCCATGGACATGGGGGCAGGCAGAGGTGGGAGACCGTTGGTTGTGGGGAGAAAGGAAGGATGGCACTAGCAGAGGGCACAGCGCGTTACCTAGGTCTTGTGTCCTCACCTTTACAGTTTCATGAGCTTGAGTGATTGATTCCTCCATGCACTTAGCCAAGGAGGAACATCACTTATGTCTCATGGACCTACCTATGGAGACGGCAAGATCAGGTACTCAAATGATGTGGGTTTCCTTTTCCCCTGACGAACCACTACAGCCACTGCACTAAACACAAAAGCATTTCAGGGAATTCAAACTGTTACTGCAAGTAGCATTCCCTGTTGCTCACTTGTCCAAATGCTTTATGCGCTTGCGGGACATAAACTCGCCTTTACCGAGGCAGAGTTCTCTCAGCAAAGCAAGCATGAGGCCGACTTCCAGTTTCTAACAGGCCAACAAGAGGCGTTAGATGAACCACCTGTTGAGCTGAAGAAGAAGCGATGATGTGCTGCCCCAAGCAGGACTGGGTCTCCTCGGAGCTCACAAAACACCGTGGCTGCAGCCTCAGCCGGTGCCTCTTCTGACCCCTTCCTGAGTCAATGCCGACCACCGCCACCTTGACATGTCCTTCCGGAACTGAGCTCTCCTCAAGGGCTAAAATGTGGTGGCTGGAAGATACTTGAGGCTATAGTTTTGGGGAATTTTTAAGTATTTAAAACAAACAAATTTTCCTCCTGAAAAGTGTATTGCTTTATTTACTGGAAATTGTTGGACTGGCAGTCAACAATGCTGGAAACGTCTGGCCTCCAGGTCAGCGCCCCGTGGCCTGTCTAGAGGGAGCGGCATGCAGAGCTCCTGGAAATTGACTCAGGGAAACCGGACCCTTGCCATTTGGATGTCGTTTTTCTTCCTGTACTTCCTCCTTTTTCATCTTAGTGTCCACAGGCTGTGCTGTTTCTAGGGAAGGTGGTGGGTTTACAGGAAGATTCTGCAGAAAGAGCATAATCCTAGTCTCCCATGGTCTCTATGAACACTGCAGTATGAGGTGGGAGAAATGCACCTCGCCCTGGCATTTTGCAGCCTCTGCCTCTAAGTCGGTGGGCGTGGCTGAGCCCCAGACAGTCAGCACCAGGACTTTCGACCATGTTTTGTGTTTTATTAAAGTGCTTATCTCCTACTTGTATGTTTGCCCTGGGGTCAGGGTGGCCACAGTCACAACTGCCCCATTCAACACCTGATACAAACAGCACACAGAGACACCACCTGCTGTGGCTGCGGGCTTTCTAAATGCAGATCATTGGCCCTGAGGCTTCCAGGTGAACTCATTAGCTGGATCCCCAAACAAAACAAAAAGATGTTCATACTCGTCCCCCAACTGAAGATGTCGGAAAGGGCAGAACAGAATGTGGGCTTTTCACAGGAGAACAGAAAACAAGCGGGACCTGTGTTCTGAGACTTCCCCCCCAGGTGCCTACTTCTACATCACATGTAAGTTCACAGCCCAGATTTCCTGCCGTAGAGAAAATAATTTTATTTTGTTGACTTTTTTTTGGTAAAATATAGCATGTTACAAGTGGACCACTAGCTAGGGCTTAGAAGTATGCTTGCTATTCTTGCCTTCGGGTCTATTAATGTCAACTGAGAACTGTAAATCAAAATGATAAAAAATGAAATTTTGACATGGGGAACTCATAAGTCATGAAAAATATTCATCTTGTTTGATTATGTGCTAAATGCAACCAACTTAAAGCTTTAAAAAATAGTCTGTCTTTGAAAGGCTGAACCTCAGGAAATAGATATTTGGAATCAACTTAATTTTCTGTTCTTGTCAAGAAGATGGGAAGATGCAACCTTCTCTTGACACCCGCTCTGAATCTCACTTCCCCAGGACGAAAAGGTCACCTTCTCAGGTCTCCCTGAGGGGAGCTGGGCCGGCCACCCTTGCAGAAGCCACTCAGCTCACCTACCTGCAGCTCTTCAATGTTTGGGGAAGAACCGGTCAACTTGTCAGCTTCAACGTGGCTGAGAAATACACCTTCGGAACTCTCTAAGACTGATGAGCTTCTGTCTAAAAAGCAAATAAGTTAAATTTAGAAGGACAGTGCATATACATTGTGGAAATATCATTATCCTAATGCGATTGCTAAATCCAATTTAAGTGAATGGGTGAACAGGCTCTGTCTTGTTCATGAGATCACCATACACATGTCAGATCAGTTCAACAACAGGTGATCCTGTAAGGAACATTACTTCTTTAATGAATACACTCAGTCAGTATTTATTGGGCCTCACTCTCTTTCGTGTATTCTGATGGATCAGGTGATTCATGGATGGAAAGGCACTGCCTCGGCCCTGAAGCTTCTCCCGGTACTGCGGGAGGCAGACACAGGAGAGAAAAGCCGGATCCCTGTGCCATTGGCTTACGGGACCTATGAAGGGACAGGGCCGTGGTGAAGGAGAATCACAGGCTTCCAGGAGAGCCAGGGATCAGCGGGGGCTTCCCCAGGATGGCCTCACTGGCAACTGAGATGATGCCTGGAGGTTGCAGAGGTGCCAGCAGGTGTGTGGGAGACAAGGCCTCCTGTTCTGCCCGGCACCTGCAAGTAAACTGACATCTTGTCCAGGGGCCTGAAGGGAAAGGGGCAGCAGGAACAAGGTGGCCAGGCTGGTGCAGACCCAATGGGAAGGGCTTCCCTGCCCCGCAGAGGAGCGCAGAGGGCACTGTGAGGGCAGGCAGAGCCTGGGGTGGTCTGAAGCAGACAGATGACACCAGCCTCACCTCTGCGAAGCTCCCTGCAGAGGCCATGAAGCAGCCTGGGGGACAGGAGGCCTGGGGAGCAGACCCAGAAGGAAAACAGGGTTGGGCTCTGCCCTGCAGGGCCACACAGGCCTGGGCCAAGGATGGGAAGGAGTCCAGGTGCCAGGCAGCCCAGGGGGAGTGGTGCCCACGGGGTTGGGCTGTGTTGTGCATAAGGACCACACCTGAGGCTTGCCCACTACGAGGCCTCTGTTTCTTTACCAAGATAGGTTCCTGCGGGATTCGTGAAGCTGCTATGGCCATTTTCTGGCAGCAACGTGAGGAAGGAATTCTTTCCCGACTCTCCCAGGGGCACGCTTGGCTCCTCCTGCTGGGACCCCTGATGCAGAAAGCACCCAGCTGCATGGACAGAGCTGGGGCTTGGGAAGAGGCCAGGCAGGTGCCAGATGAGAGGGCACTCCCATCAGGGTGGCAGCAATGCCATGCGCAGGCAAACAGAGAAAACGGAACAGAGCCCCTGAGGCCACCCAGGCCCAGCCTTCTGCTAGGAGTGTGCTCAGGGGGAAGCAGCCAGTAGGATTCGGAATCTCCAGCCACAGGCCCTGGAGACCAGCATGTGGGCTGTGTGTGGGGTGGCAGTTGGGGGTGTCGGCAAGACTCCCAGGTGAGGACCCAATGAGGGAATCAGACAAAAGGTGGCCAGAAATTAGGCAGCTCCATGAAGGACATGTCCTTGCTGTGGTAGGATGTTCTACTCACGTGTATCGACAAGAAAGCCCTGTGTTTTACAGGAAGCATGGAAACAGGTAGGAGTCCCTGACCCTGCTCACCAGCTCCTCCAGCTGCTGCCGTCTGCTCCTGCAGTGTGGCGGCCTGGGAAGCCTGCACTGGTGATTTTCTGCCACTGGAGTTCTGTGGACTTCGGGAAGATGGGTGCATTACCTGGGGCAACGACAGTCAGAGGCCCCCCTTGTTACAAGGTCCCTGCAGCCAGCAATGCCTCCAACCCAAAGGCTGGGAGCATGAAGCCATCTTCAGCCATCCACAATTTCCAGCAAGAACCCAGGGCTCACCCAACAGCCCTGCACTCCACACTACAAGGTAGGTCAATTATTATTATTATTTTTTGAGATGGAGTCTTGCTCTGTTGCCCAGGCTGGAGTGCAGTGGCCGGATCTTGGCTCACTGCAAGCTCTACCTCCTGGGTTTACGCCACTCTCCTGCCTCAGCCTCCTGAGTAGCTTGGACTACAGGTGCCCGCCACCTCGCCTGGCTAGTTTTTTGTATTTTTTAGTAGAGACGGGGTTTCACTGTGTTAGCCAGGATGGTCTCGATGTCCTGACCTCATGATCCGCCCGTCTCGGCCTCCCAAAGTGCTGGGATTACAGGCTTGAGCCACTGTGCCCAGCCAATTATTTTAAAGACTCTTCAGAAATATACCTACTCCAGAGCTCGGGAAAGCAATTGATTTTTCAAACCCAATTCAAGTTGTTCAGTTTTTTAGCATTAAAGACATGTCTGAAGAAATTCAAGGTCTACAGAAACATATTTAGGTTAATAAATAATGTTATTTATTTATTTATTAATAAATTTATATTAATACGTAAATAAAAACATAATTAGGTTAATACTAGGTCTATTTTGAATAACAAATTGAGTACTCTTAATAGACCTAAGTGGAAGTTTATCTGAATCTGAATTTTCCATGCGGCCAGTGTAGAGGGACCCAGGTTTCCGAGGTCACCTTTCCGTCTTCAGACACCCCCCGTCTTTCTGCACCGGAAGTCGGCCTTCCAGTGGGTGTTGGACTTCCGTCTTGATGTCTCCCAGGAGGACCTTTCTCTCTATCTTCCTGTGGTGGTGTTTTCCCCAAGTTAATTCTTTCTGTCTTTAAACTCATTGTCTGAAAATAAATGTGGGAATATTTTTGCATTAGTAACCATCGTATTATTTTAAAATGTTAAGCAACACATCACACCAGCTACCACAGAATCTAGATGATTCTACGCCCGTTTCCTACAGAAGGACACACGAGGCATCCACGTTTGGTGTCTCTCATTCCCTATTTTACATTTTACACTTTACATTCCACGCTCTTGAGGAATTCAGGAACTGTATGGCTGATATTGTAGAATAAAGTCAACAGTGAAATAAAGTGTTTGAAATTCAATTCAAAAATGCATAATGAAAATAATGTTCTACCTTTTCTGCTGTTTAAAAATTCATGGTTTCGAGGCATGGATAAGCCACCCATTCAGTTGTCTATTTACTCGTACAGTGTGATTAACTCAGGTCAATGAGGGAGTGTGAGAGGAGTCCGCGTCTCACAGGAGGTTGGACCTATGCAGTCTATCCTGGGACTTTCGACGTTGTGTACTCATAGGATCTGAAAAGGCTATTTTCCTACTTGTGACAAATGCTTGGAGTAGATCTGATCTTCCTTCAGGGAATAAAGTGCTATCTGCTCAGCAGTTGCTTTGGGAAAGAATGCGAGGGGATAAATCATCTTCAGGAGTTGGGGGGCTGTCTTCTCCATCCACATCAACCCAGTTTCAGTTGCTGGCTGAGGACTCACGAGTTTGCCTCCCGAGTGGGAGGGTGACACAAAGTTGGGACGGGAAGAGACACACTGGCCAGCAGAATGTTCTAAAGAGGAGCTAATTTTAACAAGGAAAAATGTGATGGAGACAAAAGAGCATCCTGCACTGTGGCCCCAAAGCAAGCTGCGCAGCTCCCAGTCAGAGGGGTCCACGCTGACAAGCAGCAGGTGCAAGACCGAAGTGCAGAAGCAGGGAGCTCAGGAGGCTGTGAGCCCCAAGACACATGGGCCACGGCGTGTGGAGAGAGCACCATGCATGTCACCTCCATGGGTGGCTTCCATGGAAACAAAGCCCTGAGTCCACTTGGCCCCAGCCAGACACTTGCTGCTGTGAGTGCTCAGAAGGAAGCCGCTGGGAGGACTTGGAATCCGCTCTACAGCGGAAGTGCTGTGGGTTAGGTCTTGTTTGAAAGGCACACACCCGGGTCCTTGGAAGAATGCGGGACTCCAGGGAGCACCATGCTCGCCCAGGGAGGTGAGATTGTGTGGTGAGGAGCTGACAGGGTGTGTGTGTTTGCGTCCAGAACGTCTGCTGCTCTTTATAGATGATAAGCACCAAGGGTCACCTTTGGAGGAGTTAAGTTGTTAGATGACGACCTTTGTCCCAGGACAGTGGCACTCTGAGTCTTGTGGCAAATGTGTTTGGGCATCGTCTCCTCATCAAATGACAGAGATGAAATTTTTCCAAAAGCGAGTTCCCATGCCTAAAAGACAAAATGCAGGGAAAATGTTCACATTTTCGAAGGGAAAATAAATTCAAATTTTAATGCAATCAAAAATAACTGGACTGTCCTAGAAAATATTAGGGTACAAGGTGTGGGGACTTGGACTGGGTTTTCCTCCTAACATGTTGATAAGAACACAAACCCTCACCCAGCGTTTGTGAAGGAACCTTTGCGGAGCCCATGTTTGCTTTGTGTTTCTTATTGTGGTTCCCTGTTTCAAAATGATCACAGGCTCCCAAAGGCCACAGAATACACAATACCCAACATATCGTCCTTTAGGCTCCTGTGTCTTCAACGGGGAATGTGGTAACGGAGGAGGAAAGTGTGATGCTCATTCCAGTGTTGTCCCTACAACTTGTCTAAGATTCGAAATGCAAATTCCCAACTTTCTCTGTTTTCAGCAGACTGACCTGGAACAGCATGATTCTTCAGGTGGGAGGAGGTGTGTTCGGTCTGGAATGTCTAATTATTGCCCGCTGTCCCCTCTGAGGAGGAGGAGGGAGTGAGAAGGGGAGAGGGTTGCTATGAATGAACCCTTAATACCAGATCCGGAGTGGCTCACCCACACAGCCGTGCCCGCGTTCGGTGGGTGCTCGTGCCTCAGCCTTTTAGATACTCAGTCCCTAAAACTGCGACTACACAGGTACACCTACGCATATTTGAAGTGTGGGATTCACATGTCCCGTCCTCTTTCTTCAGTTCAGGTCTGCTTTTGTGAGCATAGATCCTCTTCTCATAAACAGCCCCATGGTGGCCAGTACGATGCACAGAATCAAAAATATTTGGAAATTCACCAAACTCTAATCTCGAAATAAGAGAATGATCAAAACTGCAGGGAGTGTGAAGACAGAATGAGACTTCATTGACTCTTGGGGTTATTGTTATGGTAACATTTCGACCAACATACATACAATGATGCAAATGGGGTAGTAGATGCTATATTTTAGGAACTGGCATACAGTATACGCAGGGAAAAATATCTCTGTGGGTCTTTTTGGGGTCTCCCCACAGAAGGTAGACAATCCCGGCCAGTATTTGTGGCAATTTCCCCCTCTCTACCTCTGACAGAGGAACAGCCTGCCCGGCTTTCACTCTTCCTTCCACCGAAGGACTGGGTGCTTTGCTGTGCTGAGAGGCTAAACCCGCTTTCTTTCTGAGGCAACAGAAGCCATCTCCATGGAGAAAAAGCTCTTGCAGAGCTCCCGAAGAGTGGGAGTAACTTCCAAGATTTCCTGTAATTTCTTGTAGAGGAATTTGTGGCTGTTCTTGCCATGCTGGGAGAACCGACCACAGAGCAGGCTCCTCTGGAATGTATTCTGTGGGTGCCTGTGTGTATGTGTGTGAGTGTGTATGTGTGTGTGTATGTGTGCGTGCGTGTGTGTGTGTGTGCATGTGCGGGTGTGCGTGTGCGCGTGCATGTGTGCATGTGTGCGTGCGTATGTGCGTGCGTGCATGTGTGCATGCGTGTGTGTGCGCGTGTGTGTGCGCGTGTGTGTGCGTGAGTGTGTGTGTGTGTGTTGTAATCACCGTGCCGTATAGGAACTATTCTAAGTCCTGGAAGTACCGATTTAAAAGTTCACACCATAAGTGCAGATAGGAAATGTCAGTACTTTTCTTAACCCACTGAGAAACATCTCCACTTACATTTGGAGGCTGTTCACATGGTTCCATGTGTCCTTACCTGTGCGTATAATTTTAATGATTCAAGCTGTTTAGACCCATGTGCGGGAAACAGAACCCAGACAAGGCAGTGGTAACACTGGCCACATTCACACTCTCTTAGACTCGGTCTTTGAGCCACATGTGATCAAACTCGAAAGCTCAGTGTTCTATAAAGGCAGGCAGGTGCTGGGAGGCACTGACTACTTCAGCATGAGAATGCTGGTTCTTCCTTTGGGAGAGAGCAGGGCAGTGACATGGGATGGGGGCAGGAAAGTCCTGGGTAGAGAAGGGCAGGTCCCTGGCTAGGGCTCCACCCCCGGGCGTGTGCCCACGGACCCAGGCATTTCTGCTTTTGTGCCCAAATGTTGCATTTCCCAAGACCACCCTGGCCCGCCACGCTCCCATCTTGTGCCTGTAAAAACCCCAAGACCCTAGCGGGCAGAGACACAAGTGGCTGGCCTCGAGAGGAACACACTGGCAGATGCCAGCAAGCCACTGACTGACTGAATGACACCGAGATTGGTTAGGGCGGTCAGAGGAGAGCACGGCCGCTGGGCAGCCCAACTCCAGGTGAAAACCACCTTCCCGCTCCATCTCCATTCTGGCTCCCCCGTCTGCTGAGAGCTACCATCACCCAATAAAAAACCTTGCACTCATCCTCCAGGCCCACCTGTGATCTTATTTTTCCAGTACACCAAGGCAAGAACCCAGGATACAGAAAGCCCTCTGTCCTAGTGATAGGGCAGAGGGTCTAACTGAGCTGATAAACACAAGCCACCTACAGACAGCTAAACTGAAAGAGCGCCCTGTAACACACGCCCACTGGGGCTTCAGCTGTAAACATTCACCCCAGACCCTGCCGTGGGGTCAGAGCTGCACAGCCTGCCGGTCTCTACGCTCCCCTGGAGGTTTGAGCAGTGGGACACTGAGGAAGCGAGCCACACCCTCATCGCACACCCTGCGAGGAGGACAAGGGAACTTTTCCCATTTCAACAGGTCTCTATCGCATTCTACACAGCTGTCCTAGAGAATGAACAGAAGGACACCAGGCCCCTGAGCTGGCTCTGGAGTCAGTCTGGGTTCGAATCCCAGCTCTGCATTCTCCAGCCCATGACTGTGATGGAGTTAGTAATAATATTCATTTCATAGGGTCGTTGTAGAGAGTAAGACGGTAAAGCTCCCTATCTAGCCCATGTAAAGTCCACAGTAAGGGTCTGCTGCTATTGTCCTGAGGCATCATGAGATGTCTTAGAATTCTAGATGTGAGACACGCAGCCTGGAGGCGGCTGTGCTTCTGTCTGCTGGAGCGCCAGCTGAGAGGCCTGATATACCCAGTTCTTTAATCATTACTTACGGGAAATGGAGTTGATGGAAAGATAGGGAACCCCCCACCACCTGGAGCGTGTGTGATACCACGTCACCCAGTGATAAAATCCACATCTTTACGGGGACGCTATTTTTACGTAATGCAAATGGCACAAAAACACAAATGCACTTTTGGTACCAGAGTGTGTGATTCTCGCCCTGCGTGTGGGCGTGCTACAGGTTTCTTCCTGGCTTCCCATTGCTGCCTCTTCAGATCTCTCAGCTCTTCTCGGAGCTCCAGGTTCTGCTTCCTCAAAGCATCTATATGATTCTGGAGTTTTCTGTGAACATCAGCCCACAGAGACTCCTGTCTCCCGAGCTCTTGGTAGAGTCTGGAGATCTGCTGCTGTAATGGCTGTTATTGGGAAGACAACAACAGAAAACCTCTCAGACATCACAATGGGTGCATTTATCTACAAAATACTCAAACCCTCTCTGGTGTAATACCAACATCTTTCTAGACAGAAAGATACCCGATGAGATAAACAGGACTACCACAGCCTTTTTCCTTATTTTCCTTTCTTTCTTTTTTTTTTTTTTTGAGGCGGAGTCTCACTCAGTCACCCAGGCTGGAGTGCAGTGGCATGATCTCAGCTCACTGAAGCTTCAAATTCATGAGCTCAAGTGATTCTCTTGCCTCAGCCTTCCTAATAGATGGGACTACAGGCATGCACCACCACACTTGGCTAATTTTTGTATTTTTAGTAGACATAGGGTTTCAACATGTGGCCCAGACTGGTCTCCAACTCCTGGGCTCAAGCGATCCACCTGCCTCGGCCTCCCGAAGTCCTGGGATTACAGGCATAAGCTACCATGCCTGGCTATAGCTTTAGTCTTATTAAGTAGTGTTTATTATGTGTTAGTCTACATGATATAACCAGATATAGATGTTCCGTGAATTATAATTCTTTGTTAAAACACTACTATGGCAATAAGAGGTTGGCATTCTTTTTCCTTCTTTTTTTTTTTTTTAAGACATGGTCCTGCCCTGTCAACCATGGTGGAGTGCAGTGGCGCGATTTCAGCTTACTGCAAACTCCACTTCCCAGGTTCAAGCAATTCTTGTGCCTCAGCATCCTCAGTAGCTGGGATTACAGGTGCGCAGCACCACACCTGTCTAATTTTTGTATTTTTTGTAGAGATGAGGTTTTGCCATGTTGGCCAGGCTGGTCTTGATCGGACCATAGAACCTCCAGCCTGGTTCTGAGAATAAGTGGAATCGTGAGCCCTGCACTGTGTGGCCCTGACCACAAGGACCCATGGCACTTTCATGAGAGCAAGCACTGTCCAACAGAGTCTGGTGAGGAAGGGGGTTGCTGGGATGGTGTGAGGCATGTCAACCTTCTGATTTTCGTTAATGAAGTTTTTAAAGCCTGGTGCCTTCTCCTGGATTAGAGGAGCAAAGCTGGAATGTTAACATTTTCTTTAACTCCCCATCCTGTCTCCCATCCACTAAGAGAGAAGGTTGCAGAGGGGAAGAGAGCCACGTGCCCCTCGGAGAGGAAGTTCAGCATCAGCGTCCCAGGGTGGCTCATTCCTACAGGGGTCTGGTGAGGGGAAAGTCCAATGACAGCCCTCAGGGACAGGACAGTTAGTCTGGTGGGACTAACTCTGTCCCCACAGAGGTCAGCTCACCGGCATCTCCCCGGCATTGCCGTCCTCCCTGGGGACCTCGGCGGCCGCAGCTGTCTTCTCCATGGCAGCCCCAGCTCCCAGGCGTGGGTCTTCTGGGTGGGTGCCCTCCTTGGGCTCCCCGGCCTCGAGCTGACCCTCCAGCATCCTGGTTGGGAAGGGAAGAGCTACGGCGATGTCTGAATGCAGCCCCCCTTACCCACTCAGTGTGGGCTGAAGGCCCCAGCCTCAACCTAAGGGCAAGCAGGAACCACAGCTGCTCTTCTCCCCTGGGGTCCTGTGCACATTCCCAAGCCCGAAGCTGACCAGGTGAAAGGACACCACAGATGGAGGGACTGAGCCGTCCACACCTGGCTTTCCACCATCCTCCACGGAAAACACTTCAGTTCCTAGAAGATCAGCCTGACGCCTAACACACTCTCACCATCCACAGACGGAGGGACTGAGCCGTCCACACCTGGCTTTCCACCATCCTCCGTGGAAAATGCTTTAGATCTTAGATCAGCCTGACACTTAATGCACTCTGGTCATCCAGAGAAGGGTGTGAGTGGGGTGTGAGCTGGTGTGAGTGGGATGTGAGTGGGATGCGAATGGGGTGTGAGTGGGTGTGAGTGGGATGTGAGTGGGATGTGAGTGGGGTGTGAGTGGGATGTGAGTGGGGTGTGAGCAAGTGTGAGGGGAATGTGAATGGGTGTGACCAGATGTGAGCAGGAAGGTCTCGGGATATGAGTGGGATGTGAGTGGAATGGTCATGGGTGTGAGTGGGATATGAGTGGGGTGTGAGCGGGTGTGAGTGGAATGTGAATGGGTGTGAGCAGATGTGAGTGGAATGGTCGCGAGTGTGAGTGCGATGTGAGTGGGATGGAGTGGGGTGTGAGCGGGTGTGAGTGGGATGTGAGTGGAATGGTCACAGGCGTGAGTGCGATGTGAGTGGGGTGCGAGCGGGTGTGAGTGGAATGTGAATGGGTGTGCAGATGTGAGCAGGACGGTCTTGGGGTATGAGTGGGATATGAGTGGAATGGTCATGGGTGTGAGTGGGATGTAAGTGGGGTGTGAGAGGGTGTGAGTGGAATGTGAACGGGTGTGAGCAGATGTGACTGGAATGGTCGCGAGTGTGAGCAGGATATGAGTGGATGGTCACGTGCAACCCTGAGGGAATTCTCAGTCCTTTAACCGGCACCACTGGATCAGCACCCACTGGAGGGGCACAGGCAGAACCACCACTGTGTTGAGTCTGAGTCTTGAACCATCAGATGTCTTTTGTGAATTCATGGTGAAGACGCGGAAAGGAAACCTCTTTTTATAGGTACAGCATTTATGCCAGTTCTAGGAAGCTCACAGCAATCAGAAAACTAGAACAAAAGAGAAAACGCAAAGCTTCCTGCAAGCCTGCAGGGTCCTCTCTGAAAGCTGCTCCCACCCCGCCTCACCCTCTGGGTTTTAGGAAGCGAGTGGCCCCCAACGAAACCCCAACTGTTTATTCATAAACTTCTCACTGTATACAAATCTGAGAATGAAAAGTTTAACCACAGTGATCTCAGAAATGCTGTTTAAAAGAGAGTCTCCTGATGGAAGCGAATCGAAGGTCAAGAGCAAGACCTACCAGTAACCAGATCCTTGGCCGTTCCTTCCCCGCGGGGACTGGGACAGTTTCTGTGGAAGTGGGCGGGGGTCCACGGTCCTCACAGCCCTGAGGAAGCTCCTTCTTTCCGGCTCCTCTGAGGGGATACCCCAGTGTCCTTGGCCCCAAACTCGTGACCCCCTCAGTCCGGGGAAGACCCCTTCCCTCAGCCCTAACACCAGACCTCATCACCTCACCTGATCCCCGCCAGTTACTTCTGCCGGGACTGGATCATCTGGGCCGTGTCCCCACAGCTGTCCCCAAGTCCTCCTGCGTCATCTCCAGAGACCAGGGAGCAGCAGACGGTTCCAACGGACTTTCTGTCTTAAAGGGGCATGAGCGTCTCACTCAGCGTGACCACTGGACCAACTCAGATAATGATTAAACATCCCAAACCTGCAATTCTAGCAAAGAATCTCATTGTCAGTGGAGTCCACCCATCCACAAAGGACATTGGAAAGAGTCAAACTGCTCCTTCTCATTGACAAAAACCATGTGTTTAATATCAAGTCTTCAATATGCAACGTGTAGTAAGAGCTCATTTCTCTGAGCATACATTCTTGAAGAAATATAAACTTTGTTTGGATGTCAAATTATTTACTAGAAAAAACATTTTTATGAAGGGAAAATAATATACGTGAGTCTAAATAGGAGACAGGATTCAAATTTTCATCATTTCACAAAATGCATCTCCATCTGAATTGTCGTGTGATTTTTGTGATAGAGAAGAGAGTGAGGAGCAAGCGACAGTCCACGTTCCTGTTAAGCCCTGGCCGTCCTTCTCATCCACGTGCTGCCTGTGGAAAACACGCCTGGGGCTCCCCTGAGGCTGCTCGTGCTGCGTGTCACCCGGATAGTTGTGCAAGCCGCTGGCATGCAATAGGCAGTAAACACCGACGTCGTGAATGAACAAAGAAACTACCACAAAGAGGAAACAGAGGCACTTTTGTCCCTGCATGTCATTCTAACCATGGGAGTGTGGGTCCTGAGGTGTGTGAGAGGTTGTGTGTGTGTCCCGATGTGTGTGAGGTGTTGTGTCTCCTGAGGTGTGTGAGGATTGTGTGTGTGTCCTGAGGTGTGTGAGGGTTGTGTGTGTGTGACCTGAGGTGTGTGAGGGTTGTGTGTGTCCTGAGGTGTGTGAGGGTTGTGTGTGTGTGTCCTGAGGTGTGTGAGGGTTGTGTGTGTGTGTGTGACCTGAGGTGTGTGAGGGTTGTTTGTGACCTGAGGTGTGTGAGGGTTGTGTGTGTCCTGA